TCTCGGAGGAAGCCTGTGTTAGCCTTCACCCTCCTAGCGTTGATAGCATCGTGTGATTGGGGGAGTCCTAACTAGCGGGTGGAATTGGAGACGACTAAATTGGGGAGAAAATCAGGTAAAAATTAAAATGACAATGTACTACAACCACAAACTTTACTGAACTGTGCAATTATGTTCATTTACTCAACAAACATTAAGCTTCAACTAACATGCTATCATGGTGTTTACTCACACGTCCACTTCAGTGTTTGGAACTGTAACAAAATTACTGGAAGGAAAAGTGTTGCTATTATCATTATTTTTGCTACGTGTATGAATGCGACAGGTGTAAAGACTCACCACTTTTATGGTTCAGTTTGATCCTTGGTTTCTGCGCCACCATAGAAAAATGAACCAACTTTGAAACACTTCAATTCAAATAACAAATGCTTTTCCTCAATACCTGTCAACTGACTACTGAACCGCTGTGTGCATGACTTCATTTGTTTTTGGCTCCATTCAACACTACGCTTTTAAAAAATCTTTCTAAAGGTTTTCAAAGACTCTAGCTGTTGAAAGTATGAGAGCATTTCAAATCAGCGCAAAACAAAAAGACAAGGCTAAATCAGCTTCTTATTGGAATTTTACCCTTCCATCTTAAATGGTGAAGTTATAGTCTGGTGCCTGAGGTGTTATAATAACAACTGCTGCACCATTGAAAGTGGAATGGGAAAATTCGAACAAGAAGCTGGCAGAAAGGAAGCCTACTTCAGCCTTGTATACCACAGCAGCACTAGCGCGATGTACGAGCACCTGAAAATAAAACACACAGAAAAGGCACAACCACCGTAAGTACTTGTCTATTCATGCTTATTAAACTACCATTAGTAAGGTGAGATTTTTTAAAATCTGTTGTCCTTGTAGCTGCTAAATATATTCATTATTAAAGCCATAAAGTCGTCTGCCTGCTACCTGAGAATTTCCACTGAATAAGTGTTTGAGAAAATGTTCATGCTAGAATCTGGGCTTATTCTATGTAGAGTGACGGTGCCAGTGTGTGTATGTTTGTGCGCATAGGACTTGATGGGACATACACCTTACCTATGTATTTTACTTCTGCGACTATTGTAAGCACATTTCTTTGTGTAGGAAATGCTATAATTTGACTTTCTGGAGGAAAAATGTAAGATTTAAGATTAATCGACTAATTGGTAAAATAGTCAATAGATTAATCGATAGAAAAAAAAACTTAATGGCAGCCCTAATCACTAGAAAACACATAATAAAAGATAAAGCAAAGAACCTCCCACCTCTCCGAAACCAGTTTAAACATTCTGTTTCTATTCTATTACCAGCACAGGCCTTGTTGCAGCACAGGGGAATTTTTGTCTCTTGCTTTTGTGGTCATCTGTTTTAGGAAAATCACTGACTTTTTCCTTTTTAATAGAGCAATGGAAACCATTTCAATTTATGCCAGGACATCAACAAACATTTCTATAGCACTAAATCTAGCTGTATTCTCTTTACATGACATACTGTATTGCAACGCAATTATCGGAAAAAAAATATTAGCGCACTTATAGATTTGTTACATCTGTTTGCGATACACATACGGACACAGTCTGACAGACCAAAAGAACCCGAGATACTCAGCAACACCCAGAGCTGACAGACTGTGGCTTATCACTGTGGATTTACTGCAGGGCCTCTGTTATTATGAAAAAGCGGTAGTTTGACCCAGACAAAATTACTGTAGGTGTAGGATGTTAAACAAGATGAGACCATGGCATACCATCCTACACATGCACACGGAATGTAGCAGGACAGGACAACAAAGCAGGAGGGCAGGAATTCCTTGAGCATGCGAGCCGTCTCACCATTCAGCTACTTCCTCTTCACTCTGAGAGGCACAAACTGAGCTCTAACAGACACAGAATCTGCAAGACAAGTCAACATTGACTTTTTTGTGACCGATTCACCACCTTCAGCAAATAATTCTGTATGATCTGAGATATTAAAATGACCCTTCTGAATGCATCATGACATGGAAAGATACACAGATGAGCAACCTGGTATCATTTTCATTTAAAAAACTGTGACACAGACAACTGGTTTCTATTGCTCTGACACGGTCCTATAGAGGCCATGCCCTGTTTCTGTTGTGTATTAATGACTGCCCTGATTTCAACCTTGTGAGTCACAGGGCAATGTGTGCTGCATAACTGTTGATCATGTAATTAGTAAATAATGGGGTCTGATTTATCAGATAATTCCTACAGACAGAATGTTCCATGAGAAATGAGGTATATTTTGATTACATTTTTTCAGGAGGTGTATGAACCATTCTACCAAGTTTGTTTGTGGTCCCACAGTAAAAATACTATTTAAAAAGACAATTAAGTGTGAAGACCTTTGATATTTACAAGGATTACATTGGAATCTATGTAAACACAAGGCATTAACTGGAATAGCAATAAGCTAAATGTATACAAATATATAATTTATACAAAATCATCATTTCTATTAGGAGGTGTCTGTCCCAAACCCTAACCCCTAAATTTCAACTTGTGAAAATAATACTTTTTTGTATTATCTTTTCAATTTTTGAAAAACGTTTTTAATTTCTTTTAAAGTGGAGGATAGATTTATCATCAGTTTAAATTTTAAATAAAAAAAAAAAACTTTTAAAAAATGCTCTGTCGTTTTCGTGGTAACGTTTCTGAGGTATTTATGTATTAGTGGTGACAAAACGGAAATGTTCTATCATTTATTTTAATAAAATAAACAGTATAGGGCCAATCAAAGCAAAAGGATTTTAGTCTAAAATCAGTTTACAGTCTGAAATGTGTTTTCACCATTAACAGAATAGTCCATATGATGGCTGAAATTCTTCTTAATAAATGTATCAAAACCAAATAGTTATGTTTCTATATATGCTGTAATATTCCACAATCAAAACATAAATCAAAGGAATTGCAATTATTTTCATCATAGCCTAGTAAAGGTGACTCTTTCTCATAAGCGAAAGTCCCACACTGTGGGCCAAGAAGGGGATAAATGATAAAATGTCTGGGTGCAGACCAACCTTGGCATCACAGTAAGATAAAGTAGAAGGCAATATGAATTGGATTATGGATTATAATGCATTTTCTTTCTGTACCATGACATACTTCCGACTAAAACATTGGGTCAAGAAAAGGGTCTGAGCCAGCTAAGTATTTTCGCTTAGTGATGTTATTTCTTCCCACTTGCTGGTGCAGGATGACGTAATGACAACTCAGAAGATTTTTTTTAGAGGCGGGTAAAAAGTCATTACATTATGACATACGATTGCGGAAATATTGTGGAAGAATTTTATCTTTTAAAGCAGATGACACAATGAACTGTGCATAATATGACTAGGGACAATGTAAAAAAATCTAATTTAATCTCAGGTGGGCTTTAAAGACGAAACTGCAATGAAGAACGTCCACAGACAATATATGAAAATGCTCACTATGCCCACCACGCTTAATTCAAATGGCACGAGTGTAAATCTCAGCTACACAGCGGTCTAATACAGAAAGAATCATGTCAGAAATGATGGGCTGGGGCTGGAGACAAACATTTGTTAATCGCTGCTAGACATCAATGCTAATCAGAAGTCAAATATGAACAGTGTGTGGGTGTGGAAAGATCCTGGAGGCTTCATACAAGTGATGCTGGGAGGAGAAGTGACAGCAATGAGGTCTGAAAAAGACAATTGCGGGGAGAAAGAGGACAGTGTCTCCCTTAAACAGAGGCACCATTCAGCCCCTTTCACACACCCTCACAGTTTGCATGTTTCTGTGAGGCAAACCCATAAACAAATCCAGTAGGCCACGGCAGCAGAGGCTTACGAGATTACAATTACTGCACCCTTTCTCTATTACAATCAGTGCGATGATAGAGCAATCACATCAGGTCACTTTGGAGACCTTTGAATAATAATGCCAGAGTGATGGAATTTGTTTTTCGTTCCTGCAGATAACAAAATAATTGTGAAAGACGCTGCAAGTGATGTACACTTACACAAACAGGTTCTAATCTACACATCTCAGTTCCACTTAACTGGAAAGGGACTTAAGGGAAAAGGGAGGAGAATACCAGATAGCTTCTTCTACCAATGTCAGTCTAACATTTTCATGCCTTCATTCCTTCAGATTCACTCCACTCAGGCATGAATCCAGAATGAAATGAACCCTACAGTGGTATCAGGTTTTATCAGGCCTTCCAAAGTAGAGTTAAGTGTGAAAACAAGCGTCTCTTCCATGGGAAGAAACAGCTGATCGCCTTCGGCCTGCGTTAACCAAAAAACAGTATAACACAGATCTTCATGCAATGGCTGAAAGTATCACTTTGTACGCCCTCTTTTGAATTTAACCAGCAGTGGAGACATAACCTTAGACGACTAACTTGGTCTTTTTGAAGTAAGAAAGCGATAAAGCACGAATAGGGTTGACTGGATGTCAAGCTAACGTTAAAGGACTACAAAACACAAGGCTCCAAGACAGCGATACGTCTCACCTCCATTCAGAGACGAGAGCAAAGAAAACCCACAACACAACGTCCTGAAATAATAACTTTTAAAGTTTAAAGATGGGTATATTAACACGAAGCACGACTAGATCGGTTTCTTGAATATCGTTATTAAAGCTGGCTAGCTCGTCAGTTAGCTGTCAGCTAGCTTCTGCGAAGTTTCCTCACAGCCACCAGTCAGAAACTTAAAGGCTGAAATGAGTCAAACAGTTATCTACTCGAAAATGTTTAATGACAAGCCAGAACCACTATTATATTCAGGATACAGAAGGTAAGGTTAGGTGACACAGGTGACAATGAAAGGAAAAGTCTGACAGGCGTTCACACTTGGCTAACAGTTACAGCTACTGTTACTGTTAATGTAAGACGCACAGTGCAGAGCAGATAGGCTGCTGTAACCTAACAGCTATCCAGTAATGTTATATGCCTAATTTACTAGCTGCAAAGTACAAAGTGGTACTCACCCTTCCTGCAGTCAGGTTGTGTGTTTCTTTAATCGTCGCTTAAATGGAAGTTACGACTGAAGTGCCGTCAACTCTAGAAGTAACGTTAAGGTGAACCTTAGTAACGTTAGTCCACCCGTTACTAGCAGCTGTTTAACTGTTCACGCAAGGTTTTCTGGAGATCCGCAATGACCTCTGAATTAATTTCTACAGCAGGCTGTCGTTGTTAAGCTGTTTAAACCGCTCTGAAGAGATAGTCCCCGATAGCCGAAACTCCACCCCGGCTCTATCGGCGGCCCAGCGGCTCGGCTCCCTCCCAGACGAGTCCTAAAGATGGCGGCGTCCCGGAGGTCCACTCCCTGACGAGCTGGACGGGCAAAAAGCGAGCGAACATACCGAAAAATAAAGCCCGAAAAGTCGCGATGACCGCACCCTAGACTTAGGCCGAAAGCTAAACCTACGCCGTTTGTAATCAAGCTATAGGGCGTAGGGATTTCGCTCCACAGTGAACAACATGTTGTGGTGGTTTTCTCCCCCCTTCTTCTCCTCCGTCTTGTTCCTGGAACGCCAGTTCCGCCCAAAACACTTTTGGGGGGGAAGCTCACTGCCCGATTAAAGAGCTTATTCTAGGGAAATAGTAAGAAACAATGCACCAGAAAACTACGGGGAAATTATACCGTGTTTTATCGTGACAAATTTCAGAGAACAAGTTCAGAGACATTTACAGCAGATTTTCAGCATTAGATCAACACACTGCTCATAATATTTTACTCCCTTGCTGCTGAACAAATACACACTCAAAGCAGATCTTTAAAGGAACTGAACTTTTAATCCCCCCCCGTCTGAGGTTTTGAAGTTTTTTTGAAGACACACATAAAATGTCTGAAATCTTTGTTTGTAGGTTATTAGATATTAGAAATTTGCCACTGAGGATAATTTTAAAACAATCAGCAAAATAGGTAAAGGACACACGTCACATGTATGTCTAAAATATTATGAAACATAAATGCATGGACGTTGAGGTTAAGCAGGCTGGGGAAAATGGCCTGAATTCCAACCAGGTACTATGTGAATTATATGCAATGTACTGTAGTAATGTGTCTCCTCTGTTAGTCTGTTGTTGACAGAGCTCTCAGCACCATGGGCTGAATCTATACATGAAACAAATGGAAAATTCTAATGAACATTTTGAGGAGAGCCCATTACCAGAATGTGGCAGTGCATGACTAGATACAGATCACCAAGAGGTTAAAAGTGAACAGCAGCACAAATGCATTACGGTGCTGTCCTCAGGCCTGAAAACAACCAATTGGTAAACAGACCAGAGAACTGCTGCTCTGGATTGGCCCAGAACCAACTGAGTCCGCAACCAATGGCAGAGCAGGATGTCTTCTCTCTGTATCCAGGCGAACAGGAGGCTTTGGAGCTTATGGAGGCAGTTTTATGAATGGCATTTAAAGAGCCCGGCTTCATTTTTATGTTTTATTATGTAGCCGCGATGTACTTCCCATAATAACATATATCAAGTAATTTCCTTTTGGACAGGATGTCTGACCTGACTTTCCTGCTAATAGGTAATTTATGGAAATGTGCACTTTATTCGGGTTGTTCTGTACTGCAAGTGCACATGATCCGGTTCACTAATCACAGTTTACACACTCTTAAGCCAGTATTCAGACCATACACCATAAGAGAGCAAGCAATTTAATTATGAGATGAGCACTCAAGACATGACACTGTTGAAAAAATAAACAAACAAGAAAACAAATTATAGCAAGCAAAGTGTATCCTGCTTTGGACTTCCTCTGTGGCATATCTCTGCCTGTTGGCATTTCCTGAGTAAGACCCCAGTGAAGAGGGAACCCTCCCACTGCAAAACCCAACACACTTGCAGTTATGTCTGGCAGGGGTGTGTTCAGCTAAAGCCCAGCACAAATCACGGTAGTTGCCATAGCCGTTACTAGACCTTAACATTGCACTTTTCTGTAGTTTTGTTTTTTTTTGCCACTTTCTAACTCTTCCATTACACTCTGCTCTATATAGACTTTAAGATTCATTAATGAAATTTAATTGGTGAGTTGATTCACCCGTTAAACGTGATTAAACCATTAGTGCCTATTATTACCCCTCTTAATTAAAGAAATAATAAAAAAATAAATAATTCACTTAGTTCCATGTGTACTTTTATTAATACAACTGGCCAGTAGATGGCACACACACACTTCTCAGTTCTGTGGCGTTGTCCGATGAGCGAATCGATCTGTTGAATCGGTTCTTTTCGACAAATCAGGCAAGATTGACCCATAGGGAAAAAGTAAGTAACGCTTGTCCTCATGTTTCGCTTAAGTTATCCAGTTTACGGAGAAATACAGCTATGTGAACCTTCATTGCTGACATTAGAGTCACTCGCTAATCTCCACAATATAAAAAGGGATGGAAATTGATCTCACTTATGAATCACTGATTTGTTGAGTCACTTGTGAATCAATGATTTGTTGAGTCGGACGTTCGATGAATTCAAACAAGGATAGTTCTAAAGAATCGGTTCATTAAATGAATCGATCTTCCCGTCAGCTCGCGCATGAATATGACGTAGTTGAAAGTTTACATGTGCAGCGTGAGCGAAAATGGTTGCTGGCAGAGAACAGCAACAGCAGCAGGCTCATCGGCCTGGAATTTACAAACAGAAGAACAAGCAGCACAAACATGGAAAGCATCGAACCAAAGGAGAGATCGAGCGTGAGAACAAGGGTGAGTCTGGTTCCCTGAGTTTCTTTCTTTTCGCCGCGCCGCGTTCGCAGCGCTGCCTGGCTAACAACGTTAGCCAGACACGTGTTTACAGTCCAGGCACTTTTAGTGGCCAAAGAAGGGAACTGGATTACAGCAGACTCGTTTGGATATAGCTAGTTATTTGTTTTGTTTGTGGCTTGTTCTCAGTAGCCACTTTATCAGGTACATTTACATTGTATCTACGTTTATTGTCTGATCATGTCCACTTACCGTTTTGTAGCTTTACAATTAGAAATTGTAGTCTATCTATTTATTTGCTCAGTGTATCAGTCTTCCTTAACCTCGTTCATGAGTGCTTAGAACTAAGGTACCACTGAGCAGACATTATTTTGGGGGTGGCTCATTCTCAGCAGTGCAGTGACGCTGACATGGTACTGACATTTTATTGTGCTTGTGTTCAGAGTGGATAACACACATGCATTTTTTAGGCAAAGGATGGTACACCGACCAAAAACAACCAGCCAACAGCATCCTGTGGCCAAAACCTGACCACTGATGAAGAACTAGAGCAGTGGTCACCATCCTTGTTCCTCTAGATCTAGGCCTTCCTTCCTGCAGAGTCTAGTTCCAACCATAATCTGCTACACCCACTCCTGCAAATTGAGTTTTTCAGACATTCTTGCTTGGTTGAATCAGAAGCATTAGTTTTTAGTAAGGCGGGGCAGCATCTTAGGCGCACATTGGAACTAAACTCTACAGAAAAGTAGATGTTTGGGAGTAGGGTCGGTTACCACAGGGCTAGAGAATGAGCAGCACAAACTGCAGCAATGAGGAGCTATCTCCTCCAACTTTACATCTAAAGGCTGGACCACTCAATTTTAAAACTTCAGCAACACTACTGTATGTGATACAAATCCCAATAGCATACCACTGCCTTGTCAGTGCCACTGCAATGCTAAGAAGGATCCATCACCTAAATTATACCTGCTAACCGTACCTGATGCCAGTGGTGGCCCTGTGGGGTCCTGACATTTAATGAACAGGATGAAGGTTAAAGGGGGATAACAAAATATGCAGAAAAAGAGATGGAATACAATCTGTAATTGTAGAACTACAATGCACCTATATGGTAAGTGGACCTGAAAAATTGGAAAACAAGTGAGATGCAAAGTAAGTGTTTTAGTAAAGTGACCAGTGAGTGTATGTGGGCTGCACAGTTGAATCTGTGCCATAGAATCTTAGAAACCTTTTTCTATCTGAGGAGAGCTTGTTATTTTCAAGTACACTTAGCTCTCCGTTCCTAGAAATGCAGGATCTAATCAGAGAGATGGTATTTGGTAAGGGCAAAATCAATTCACTTGCTTTCTGTGAAATGTCTGCATCATTCAGGCAGAGTTGCTGTGGTGGCTCTATCCAAAAAGCAGAAGCGAGAGTTGAGGAAGATGGACCGGAGACATAAAGCCAACCAACTGCGCCGCAACAAAAAAGACACAGTAAGAAAATAAAGAAGCTCACCTTATCGCTCTTAACTTGATGTTTACATGATTTTGTGAGCAGTGTCTCTCTTTTGGCTTCTGCTAGGTGCTGACAGAGAAGCGTCGCTTGGGCAGTAGGGATGGCCCTCCTCATCTGGTGGCTGTCATTTCTTTGCATGCTGGTGTGGATGCTGGAGCTGTGACGCAGATACTGAGAGGAGAGGGGGTTGGTGGGGTGCTACATGAAGACCAAGGTGTCAGAGGGGCTCAGGACAGTTTTGGCCTGGTTCTTCCTCGTTTTAAACAGAGATTCACTTTCTACCGCTCAGACACAGGTACCTCTTTGCCATGTGGTTCAGCTAGAATAGTAGCAATAATAATATTTGATTTTCAGACATTGACATAGAAGTGAGTTGGAAATAGATTATTGTGATGAGCTCCCACTGCACACAGACATTTGGTGTAATTTAAGATCAGTACTGTGTGTATATATATATATATATATGTATATGTGTGTGTGTGTGTTATATATATATATATATATATATATATATATATATGTGTATATGTATATGTATGTGTTATATATATATATATATATATATATATATGTATATATATATATATGTATATATGTATGTATGTATGTATGTATGTGTGTGTGTGTGTATTTCTATATTCCAAAATAGTGTCATACGTTTGTTCTCTGTTGTGCATTTTACACATGAAGGACATGTAATAGTAATGTATATCATTCGGTGGGTGCTTTAGATTTTGAAATAAAAGTTCAATGATACAGAATTTAAATACATAGTACAATAGTATCGTCAATAGCGTAGTACTGTTTGTGTCTTTTGCTGTTATTTTAGGTGAAGAAAACAGAACAAAACATCCAGTACAAGCAATATCAGATTTATAACATAGTCTTTTAGCAGTACTCCAAAAGAATGGGATTTTTAACTTCATTAATGCAAACAAAAGTATTATTAAATGCTGTGATGTATCTGGAAAAAATATTGAGATTGAATTTTGCCAGCACTGTCCAGTAATAATGATGCATTTCCTTTACAGTTGAAGACAATAGATTGCTTCAAAATTAGTGCTTTCCCTAATCTGCTTTGCTCTTTAATTTGAATACCTATAATGCAGTCAAACAGGTGTTAAGTTGTTTGGGTACAGTCCTTTATGATTTGGCTTGTTTTCAGATTTAAGCAGCTTATGTACATAAAGGCAAACTCATGGCATGTTACATCCAATTAATAGAAGCTTCAGGGCATTTTATTGTTCTTTAGTGCCTACTAACAAAATCCATCATACATGGGATTTCACCAGTTCCACACATTATAAAAACGAACTCCGGCCATATAAAGTAGATCACATTTCATCTGTGCAGCAGACTTATGATTTTATATTTATATCATATAAGAGATGAGTCCTACATTGGTAATACTAATGAATGTATTGAACTCAGGTTTGGCATATAATCAAGGTTGGCTGTGAACGATGATGCTGTTATATAAGCTTTAACAAATGACAGTTGCAAACACGAAAACTGTGGTTTACTTTAAAATGAGGTTCCATTGCTCTTTACATAGCCTGCTGTTGTTTTAAATGTAATATGTGCTTGGTAGGCAGTTGATGAAATACACATTACGGTAGATTTTGTTTGGTAGAGAGTAATAGTGACCAAGTGCCTTAAAGCTTCACTTGGCTGGTAGCACATAGAGGAGTATATTTGAAAACATGTTTTATTATTCAGAAATATCCTGCCATTTATAAAGGCATTAGTGAGAGAGTAAAGCTGTGTTTTTAGATAAGCTTAAAGCTAGATCTGGCTGTTGTAGCACTACATGGTAAGGGGAATACGTAGTGTGAATATGTAGTTTAGTAAATAAACCCTCTCTTATTGAAAATGCTAAACGTTGATTTATGTAGAAGGCTGCTCTTTAATGTTAAACTGTCTTTCTCTGTTTTCAGCTGACGTGCATTCACTCTTGGATGTGGCTAAGGTGGCGGACACTCTGGTTTTTGTTCTGGAATCCACTGAGGGCTGGGACAGTTATGGAGAATACTGCCTTTCTTGTCTCTTCGCACAGGGATTGCCAAGTCATGGTGAGACAAAGCTCATCAGAGAGTCAGAGACTGTTGGCTTGTATCTGAGTCGCTTAATTGTAGATTGTCCATGCCATGTTTGTTAGCTGGATGCACAATTACTCTGCTTCTGCTTTGGCCTCTATTAGGGATGGGATAGCGTAAAAGATTCCCATCGTGATGTTAGATGTCGCCAATATTATCATATTATTTGGATATTGTTGCTGCACTAATAGGCATTGAAATAATTTCAATTTCAAAACCCCAGGTTTTAAACTACAAACCCAGTTCCAAAAAAGCTGGGCCAGTATGTGAAATGCCAGGAAAAAGCACAGATTGCTAAGTTTGGTTTGACCTGTATTAAATTGATATTGGTATTTGATGTTTTACCGTATGCACTTCACTGTTTTTTGTTAAGATACACTGATTCCAAATTTGATGCCAGCAACATGTCCCAGAAACGTTAGGATGGGAGCATGTTTACCACTGTGTTACATCATTTTCCTTTTTAACAACACCTAATAGTCATTTGGGAGCTGAAGACACAAACTGATCCAGTTGTGAAAGTCTAATTTCTTTGCTTATCTTCAGTTATACAGGTCTTGAACTGTGCAGCCATGCAGGTCCTTTGGTGTCGTACTTTGAGTTTAATAGGTCTCATTATAAGTTTATAATTGGAGACAGTTCTGGACTGCAGGCAGGCCAGTCCAGCACCCACACTCTCTAATTACGCAGCCATGCTGTTCTAACACAGGCAGAAACTGGCTTGGTGTTGGCATGCTGAAATAAGTGTGGACGTCCCTGACAAAGATTGTCTTCTAGAAGGCAGCATATGTTCCTCTAAAATCTGTTTAGCATTATTGGTGCCTTTACAAATGTGCAGGTTACCCATTAATACTTCCTATACTATGACAAACACTGGCTTTTGAATTTTATGCTGGTCACCATCTTCATGGTCCGTCTCCTTTTTGGCCCAGGAAATATGACACACATCATTTCCTCAACAGACCACAATACACGTTTCCACTAAGCATCAGTTCATTTCAGATGAGCTTGAACCAAGAAAAGTTGGCTACTTTTATGGATTCTGTCTTCACTGTGGATAGTACAGTCTTGCATTTTGTCTATGCAGCAACAGACGATGTTTATTAATAATGGTTTTATAAAGTATTCTGGAGCCTGTGTGGTGACATCCATCACAGAAACAGGCTGGTTTTTAATGCAATGCTGTCTGAGGGGTCGAAAGGTCATGTGCATTAATTTGTAGTCTTTGGCCTTTTCCATAAAGCACAGAGATTTGTCCTGATTCGATGATCTTTTGATATTGTTATGCACTGTAGAGAGTGAAATACCTATAATCTTGGGCTGAGGAGCATTATTTTTAAACTGTAGAATTTTTTGCTGATGGATTTTTGGAAAAATGGCAAGTTTTGACTCATCCTTGCTCATTAAAGATGCATTCCTGGATCGCCTGCATAAGATTTATTTTTTCACAACGTTCCCAGTCTTTTCCCAGTCAGTTGCTCCTGTCCTAACCTTTTTGGAGTGTGTTGTAGGCATCGTTTAATGACTGAATGTAGATTTTCAAATAGAAATTAAACTGGAAAGGTGAGATATTTAATATCTCCTCTTTGTGCTATTATGTTCACATACCGGTCAAAGTAGATTTATTAGTTACTGCTTTCTGTGTTTATTGGCATTTTAGTTTCTATTAAACCTCTCTCTTTGTAATACCAAAGAAATCACCTACAATCCAAATAATCACGAGAACAACTGATATGTGCTGTTCAGATGATTAGATTCTTTGGCCTGGTGAGAATGATCTGTAGGTAGACTGTTGTAGTTGTATGTCAGTACACTTCATTTTCTAAATGTATTTTTTTTTCCCGTGTTTCTCAGCATTGGTGTGTCAGGGCATAGCTGACTTGGCGGTGAAAAAGCGGACTGAATCCCGGCGTGCACTGTCCCGCTTAGCTGAGGCTCGTTTCCCAGAGGCACGTCTCTTCCCTCTGGATTCTGAGCAGGATGCAGTGCTGCTTCTTCGGCACCTGGGGGCCCAGAAACAGCGGCGGCTTGCTTTCCGCTCCCGTCGCTCACACATGCTGGTTCAGAACGCCTCTTACACCCCTAATAACTCCCAGGATGGCACAGGAGGTCCTGCCACAGGACTGGGGACCCTTCGTGTGTCAGGGTATGTCCGAGGCTGCCCCCTGCAGGTGAACAGGCTGGTGCATATTGCAGGCCACGGGGATTTTCAGCTTAGTCAGATCGACGCCCCCACAGACCCTTTACCCATTATTACAGCTGCCCCTCGCCCTGTGAAGCCAGCCAAGGGTGGAGATGTGGAGATGATGGTGAGTGGAAGCTGGACTCTTAAGGTATTTTACAGTGTGCCTGTAAAAAATGTGCACAGTGATGATCAGATTCTCAATCAGATATGCTTGTGTGATATTGATTTTTCCCTGCTTGCGATTTGTAATGTTGTAATCATCTAGAGCAGAGGTCACTAATAGGCGAGTTCGGACCCAGACGCTGTCCTATGTGGTCCTGGACCTATAACCGATAAACTATGGAGAATTATTTAATTTCGACAGGGTGCTCCTGTTTTAATCGCCGTAACTTTTCTAGCCTTTACGGTACCGGTTTAGTGACGTGGGAAACTCATAGACCAATTGCATGCGTTGTACATATTACACGTGACGCTACTCAGCCAATCAGATCTGTGCATTACGGTGAGCACTGAGACTCGAGTGAGTGATGCACACACAGGGGAGGGACGAGGCAAGACACAGCAGTCGGAGAAGAAAGTGAGTCAGAGGGAGGTTATTTCACATGGCGTGGTCTAAAAAGAGAAAACTGACAATATACATTGTTGAAATATGACTGAATTGTACTTTATTTGATTTTACATTGTTGTTGACTGTATAAGATGTTTATATAACTACTAGGCTGCTTCAGTAAACAGTATATGGCACCGAATCATAATGCAAGTTAGACATTATGATGTTCTGGACCTTTGCTTGAGGAAATTTTCTCTAACTGGACCTTACTGAATTTTAATGAAATACCCCTGATCTAGAGCAAATGAAGAGAAAAATAAAACCTAAAACCACAGTGTGGCGCTGTTGAATGTCATTAGGTTTAAGAAACAGGGGCATCATGAGACAGCACATTTCTGTCAAGCCCCTTGTTATGAATAATGCCATCTTGGACAAGCTTTATTCAGTTATTCATAAATTGTAGAAGTAGTAATAATAATAATAATCATAATAATAATATTAATATTGATAAAAATAACTTCATAATTATTGTTATTATTATTATTATTATGTTGAAGCTGTTGTGAGGGCATGCTGAGGGAGATGAAACTTGTTTTGGGCCAACTGAAGCTGTTTCTTGCGCTGCTAGTTGTTAGAAAACGTTGACCAGTGCTCTTGGTTTATAGAGTTTGTCACTCCTAGATTTAAGTTGTGCCTGAAACAACTCAGCCAGGTCCTTTTGAGTTTTTCGACCGCTACAAATTTGTTAGAGCTGTTATTGGTTGTGATGTAGGGGAGGTGACTTTTCTCCAGCCTCCACTCCTCTGAGGAAGCTTGTAGAGCAGCAGCTATTGTTTCTCATGTGTGTCTCTGGGAAATAGCTGGTCTTGAAGTATTTTGACTCGTAATATTTTGACTGGCCACTGATATTGAGCAGTAACAGACATGTATGGCTGTAAATTAATACTTGAAGTTAGTGCAAACTTGGCGCCATGACTCATTTTTTCCACATCAAACAAAGTTCCATGAAAGTGTAAAGCCAGCCCTGGATGATTACACAGGTTCAGAAGGTTACCGTCTTTTGTGATGACTCGTTTGTTTCAGTTCCTGCATGTTGTATTGTTCGGATTGAGTGGTTGACCTTTTTCATCAGGTGGAACCTAAAAAAAAAAATTGCCGCATTGGAGTTTTTCTGAACTAGTTCCCCATTATCTTTCTAGAATTATAATCACAACAGATGGGTTTGTAACAAGCCAACAGTGCCTATTTAAAAAAAATTTAACAAGCTGCTTAATGGTAAATGCAAAAGTAGTGAAACGATATAAACATAGTCAATGTCAAAGCAGTGTGAGAGTGTGTAGGGATGGTCGAGTCACAATCACCCAAGCTTACAGTCACATTCACACATAAGGGCTTTGCACACAAGATGGGTATTTTCCAATTAAAAATTCTAACCAAACATGCTATTCCTACAGCAACTTGCCCAGAAATGCTGTTCTGCGACTGCCTGTGCAGTCAAGCTGAAATTTCATTTGTGTTTTAAAAGTTTAAAAAGATAGTCGTTAAAAACAGCTCCCGCTCTTGAGATAAAAATGGCTGCTAACATGTTCGCAGTGTTTGTTTCTGAGCATTCTACATGTCAGTGTCTAACATAGACCGTACTTCTTTCTACTTTTCAAAATGAAGTGGCTCCAATAATGACACTGTCCTCCAATAGTACGGGTGATCAGACACAGCAGTACTGCTGGAGTTTTTAAACAACTCGGTGTCACTGAGAGTGAGAATAGTCCACCAACCAAAAATGTCCAGACAACAGTCCTGTGGGCAGCGTCCTGTGACCACTGATGAATGACTAGAGGACCTAGAGGATGACTAACACAAAATGTGCAGAAGCAGATGATTTATTGTCTTTGACTGGACAGAAAGTGGACACAGTGTTTTAAAAACTCCAAGCTCCAAACGTTTTTTTTGTATCTGATTTAGTATGCAAATACTAAACCTTGCTTTTGATTCACCTAAAGACGCGTAAAAAGGTATTATATTATGCAGTTATGCAAGGCATGAATATTTTGACAGTGTACTGACCCAGAGTTATGTGTACCATGCAGGATGGGAGTGCTGCAGAAATGAATGGAGCTGGTGGGGAAGTGCGAGTGCTCATGAAGGCTGACCCTTCTCAGAGAGAGAGCCTGCAGACAGAGGCTGAGGTTGATCCCATGGAGGGTGAACAAACGTGGCCCACTGAATCTGAGCTCCAGGAGGCTGAAGGTATAGCAGTATTGAGCTTCCAAAAGCTATACTAACTATACTCAACAAGAGCTAGGGATGTGCCTGTATAACAATGTAATATCATGATAATTACTTAAGCTTTTGTCAGAGATTACAGAATTATCATGGTATGATTCTAAGGGATTAAAAACACTAAGGGTTTAGTTTCTTGGACAGTGTGACAGCTTAGTGGGAGCATGTTAAACCAGAGTTACTCTGTGTATCTTAAACAAAAACCTCTGGTGAACTTGTTTGAATGAATGCAATGATAGTATTTCAAAGTGTCTGCGATAACTGTGTGTGTGCTGAGAATCTTCATCCTGCTAAATGTGAGTGTGTAAGTGTTTATTGGCATTTAATTAGAATTTGAAATTGGAGACATGCTTCTCAAACTACTGCAGTATGGAGGACCAGATTTGCCAAATTGAAAAAAAAATATATATATATATAATAAAATAAATGACTTAGTAAATTTAATATATAAAGTAGAATTGCAAAGAATAATGGTGGTAAATCTAAAAATAAATTAATATACATAACAATTAATATGTTAATAAATAAAATCTTACATAATATGTGCATTTGTCTATTTAGTAATTTCCCCTTCTCACTAATTTTTGTATTTATTTTTATTATTTATATCTTTTTATTAACCTTTTTTCTGTTTTTCTATTGATTTATTTTATTACTTTATTTCCATAACTATTCATTTCTATATTTATTTATTTCTCTATTTATTTCTGTATTTCTTTGTCCTTATGCTAATAAAGGGGCTGTCAGTCAATGATGTCACAGCGTCTTAATATTCCTATTGGTTGATCGATGTCAGACTCTGTAGATCGATTGTACATGTCTTGCTCTCTCAGCGGTAACTAAGGACAAGACAGTACCGTAATGGCTTCTTACAGGCAGCAGACAGTCAGAGATCTGAGACTCTCGGCTGATCTGAGAATGCAGGCCCAGATTATTCACTCTTCCGTTGGAGGCTGTGGCGGACAGTTTGCTCCATTTTGCTGCCTCTGCTGATACAGAGGTCGACCCGTAGTGCGCAGAACTTTGGAGGAGGTGGTTCAGCCTCTTTTTCTGTAAAATTCAGATCACACTCAGACATTTGGACGCCCTTCTCACATACTGCCTGTGGAAGCCATTGAGAGTTATTTATAAATTAATAAATTATTATTATAATATTCAGAAAATTAACAGTAATTATTTAAAGTGTGCAGAAGTGTGTTCTCTGTCGAGGATGTGCTTACTTATTTTCATTTAAAAAATGAGCAAGACAAGTAGTTTGACCACGGTGCCCAAAATTTACGTTTGACTTTATCTACATGATTGTGAAATCGTGTTTTTTGAGATTGTGCCAAAATTGGTAATTTTTTAGCGACGCATTCTTTTCATGTGCTCCTCAGTTCTGCAGACAGGTAATGGTAGGGATGCATCAATACCGATATTGATATCAGGTATCGGTCTAATACCACATTCATGTACTCATGAAAAGCCACATCCGATACCAGCTGATAGCATGTGACACAAGCCGAGTGTACACTGTGCTTTGCTGATGAACAAGTGTGCACTGTGCAGTGCTAATGAGCAAACGATTCAAGTGGGCAGTGAACGAGGGTCTGCTCAGACAGGGAAATGTCACTGACTCTGCAGTGGTCGGTCACTGTAAACATTGTGCCTTGGTATATTCCCACCAAGATTACACTGTGTGATTTTAGCCTGTTTTAAACAGGGATGCAGATGCAATCAGAACCCCTTCCCCAGAGCAAAGCGCAGGCGAAAAAAGTCGTCTTTTCAGTATTAAAGTCTGTCTGTGCCGGCTTTACTCTTTTAATGAATAGAATAGCGAAGTATAAACATATAATAGATATAATAATAATAATAAAATAACGTAGGCTGTAGAAGTCATATTGTCTTACTGTGTACATCACTGCCTGGTTTTAGTGGTCAGCAGCACTGCTGTAGCTCAGTTGTTTGCCCATTTGCGTGTTTGCATTTCATTCAAAATAAGACCCTTGCTCAGGCTATAGAGGACATTGAACTACAGCTTAACCAGCCAAAAAAAAGACTTCAACAACAAGAAATGTGAGCTCCTCCGATTAGCCTTGGATGTGATACCTGCTCTCACTGTGCTACAGAGAGTGCTGTTGAGACATCAAAACTATGAAACGTTCTTTGCTAACATCTAATACAAAAGTGCTTTTCTCATATATAACAAACCCACTCTTCTCCACTGCAACACTGCTCGATTCAAGGTAACTAATGCAGCATAGCTAGCTAATGCATGTCATTAAAATGAGCTACATTTTCAATTCATTATGGTATCAGACTTGATATCAGTGAGTACTAAAAACAAGTAGTCGTAGTCGGTCTAAAACAGTGGTATTGGTGCATCCCTAGGTAATGGATTAGCTGTGATACGTCATTGTGAGTTCAGGTTTGAGTAATAATTTTAAAGGAATGAAATGACAATTCTGTAATGATCTTTATCCTGAATGTTTAGAGGCCAGGAAGAACAGAAAGGTGGTGAAGGTGCCAAAGGGAACCTCAGACTACCAGGCCACATGGATCGTGGATGATGCTGAAGAGGATGGAGACGATGAAGAGGAGGATGACATGGACAGCTGTGATGATGATGATGATGACGACGATGCTGATGAGTTAATGGAAGATGGTGAAAATGAGTCTCAGGTGAGCCTGGTTAAGGCTGTTACTTATTTTTTTTTTTTGTCCAATGGAAAACATTTCTGAACATGAAAATAAATTCTCCCTTTAAAAATGATTGTGTCCAGTTAGGCCATTTTTTTTTAAGACTCTCTAGAAAGAACTGTGAACTATGTCCAGTAAATAAATCACAGGGTTTTTTAAAAATAAAAATGAACTAGGAAGTATGTAATTAGGTCAGGCCTGTAAACACAGCAATAAACTATCCATACGTGACTCTTTGACCCTCTGGACAGGCATTGGCATTATTTGTTTGTGCGTCACCATGGTGTTGTCCAAGGTGGCAGCGGAAGAAGGCAGTGAGAAATGAGGCCAGAGCAGGTCAAGCTAAAGTGCTCCTTGACTTCCACCGCATTTTCACCGCACAAAGCTGACAATGCAGAGCGCGGGCGTAAATATAGGCGGTGGGAGCGGGCGATTGGCTGAAATGGGGGCAAGGGGCGGGCACGGCGCTGGCGGAACACTGCATACGTGACTGGCTCTTTGTGCGCTGCATGGTGGAGAGGCATTGTTTGTTTTCTCAGCGTCTGCCTCTCAGCCCCAGTGCCAGGCTGCTCACCGCAACAATAGTGTTTGGAGCTGGAGGCCTGTCCCGAGAGAAGCCTCCCGTCTTCCTGCTCTTTGGACAGGGCTTCCTGTCGGGACCTGCGGAGCGGGCGGCCATTTATTTATACCAGCTGGGCTTGAAAGAGCAAGGGGGAAGCTCCTCATGTATGGAGGCTCCGTTAGATTTATTTTCTTTCAGCGCAATTAGCATGTCTCTGATGTCTGGGTGAGCACCAAAGAGGGCTTCACAATGCAAGATGTGAACAAGGAGGGAAGTGGTACCTCAGATGATTCGGGGAGATTATTTTTATTAGCGCACCTGTGATTGTTCTGCAGGTTGACCCCTCCGGGGTGTGGATTCACCCCAGCAGCGCGTCTTGCCCCTTTCCCTTCTCAGTGGCCACATGCTCTCCTGAAAAAGGCAATGTATATTTAGGGCCCTAGGACATCAAAGAGTAGTCCTTTGGATGAAGCTTGAGCCTGGTTTAGGAGAGAGAAGGATTTTTGAAGGAATTCCAGTTGACAGAAATAATGTCAAATCTGTACATTTTCAAATGCTGAAACTTCTGCTCTCATTGTTGCTTGTTAAATTCATCAGAGCTGGGGTCTGTCATGAAGCAGGATTCGTGGCTAAGCTAAGCCAGCCAACTTAGAAGCTTAGCACAATCTAACCCAAGATTTTCTGTCTCACGACAGTGGATTACTTTTTAATAGAATACATTGCCATGGCAACTTATGCTGCACACCTAATCTGCTCAAGGCCAAGTTAAGTTCAGGGTTTTGAGTCATAAACAGCTCTTCAGAGTGAGCTTCTGACCATGAGGCATGAGGAGGTGGACCTCTCTGTTGACCTTTTTCTTTCTCAATTGTGGTGTCAATCATGTGAAGTCTTGCTTTTTAGCGGAGGAGGCAAATTGTACTATATAGGTACATATATAAGAAGAGAAAACAATTACCACTCCATTAAACAGACTATACACAATAATCAGCATAATTAGATCATAATGTAAAAATACTAGTTCAGCTAAGTGGCTGATTTTTTGCTGATGTCCCTGGGCTGGCTAATGTGTAAAACATCTGAATATATTCCCTTTCTTAAGGATGGTGAAGCTGGCTGTGACTCTGGAAACGATGATGCTGATGACGATGAAGAGGAAGAGGAGATAAGCTCGACAGACCGTGTTGGAGCTGAGCAGAAATATGATGAAGCGATGGACAAGGCGGAAGAGGAAGACGGGCTCAAGTGTTATCGAGAAGCTCGTTCTCACGAAATGTTCCCTGATGAAGTGGACACCCCCATCGATGTGCCTTCTAGAACAAGGTAAGGATGAGGGAAAGATGTGCATGCACTGCACTGTGTTAATGCCTGTAAAAACCACCAATGAGTCCATTACTTCCCGCTGCTTCAGCTCAGCCTGTGCGCAGAACTGAGCAAAGGAATATTTCCTTCCTTGCAGGGGGGTTTGACACACTTTCAGTGGTAACGCTAGTACAGATGCTGTTAGCACAGATGCTTTTTTTGCCCTTGTTTTGTAAAGAGCGAAGGTCTGACTCACGGCTGTGTTTGTTTGTTTGGGTTTGTGTCTCAGATTCCAGCGCTACAGAGGTCTGAAAAGTTTCCGCTCGTCTCCGTGGGACCCCATGGAGAACCTGCCTCTCAACTACTCCCGCATCTTTCAGTTTCAGAACTTTGAGCGCACCCGCCGCCGTGTCCTGGCTGAGGCTGCAGCTGAGGAGGAGGGAGCTATGGTATGAGCGTGTGCACAATAACAGAAGAAAAGTTTCAAAACAGACAATTGAAAATATGTTATTATGCTTAAAGTCTTCAAAACAAAAAATAAATAATAGGGCTGGTATTTAAAAAAAAAAAAGTGATTTTCAGTCATGCTTAAAACCAGTAATATTTACATTTCATAAATCAAAATTGTAAGTATTTAAGGCTGAAGCCCAGCTGCCAGTGTGCAGTATTTTGATGTGATAGAATCTGTGTATCTAGACATCAAGAGTAACGAATTACAGTTGTTGTTCGTCGACAGAATGCCAAGGGTGGGCCAACACTGCAGTCCATTTAAATGGGGCCGCAAAAATATAAGCTTGTTTTGATGGTCACTGTGTAATTTAATGTGTTACTTCATAGCTTTGAAATCTTCTATTATTGTAAAATGTGAAATAATAGTAAAATATAAAGTTAGTTTGAATCATAACTTACAAGACATTTTTTCGGACGGGACATTGCTCAGAGTATTACGAACATCCCAGAGCTTTCTAAAGCTGCTGTAGAGATGTTGATGTGCTGTTTGGTTCTGCAGGTTGGCTGGTATGTGACTCTACACATTGAGGACGTGCCTTCCTCAGTGATGGAGAGCTTTCAGGCAGGCAAACCTCTGGTACTGGTCTCTCTGCTTCCACATGAACAGAAGGTATCTTTCATCTTAATTCTAAATTGGTTTCAGAGGTGCAGCTGCAACAATGAAGTGAACCATGCTTTATGCAGAAAATGTAAACACTGAATGACTGCGAACATTTATATATTATTTAACTTGAAGTTATTGTTAACAACATTTGAGCAGAGGAAAATGTGCAAGTGAATATTATACATTTATGTGTTCTTCTACATGGGGAAATAGCAGAACTCTGATGCTATGTTTAATCACATCAGTGCTCAGATAATTATTTCTTGCTACGACTATTAACCAATGAAGTTTAAATAATGACCTATAATTATTTAAACAAGATGTTCTGCTGGGAGTAAAAGCCATGTTCCCTCACTATGTTCCCCTGTGTAGATGTCAGTGATGCATGTGCTGGTGCGGCGGCACCCAAGTTGCACAGAGCCTACAGCATCTAAGGAGGAGCTGATATTCCAGTGTGGCTTTAGACGCTTTCGAGCCTCTGCCCTCTTCTCCCAGCACACCTCTGGTATGACCCAGCTGCCATGAATTTCCTGCTGGTTTTATCTTGGACTACATTGTGTGAACATTTAATTACAAATGGACCAAAAGAAGTTTTATGAACCTTTTTTTTTTTTTCATCCTCCTATAAAGTTACCATTGTTGAGATTTTCTTACTACAGTAATAGTATGTTTTGGAGGGGAGAAGGTATTCCCTTATGTAATAAGCTAGTTTTCCCTGTGTTAAGTCCCAGTACTGGCTTGTCGCACTGCAGATGAGGGATTAGTGAGCGTTCACCCAAGGCTGTGAGCTGACCTATTTGTCTGTGTAGGCGACAAGCACAAGATGGAGCGTTTCCTGCGTGTCGATGCTCCTACGGTTGTCTCTGTGTATGCCCCCATCACCTTTCCCACCACTGGGGTCCTGCTCTTCAAACAGAGGGCCAATGGTAATTGAGATACTTCTACAAAGTTACAACAATGAGTTTATGAGTGTAATAAGTTGATCATTGATTGAAATCTCCTCCTCCTACAGGAATGCAGGACCTGGTGGCCACGGGCAGCTTGCTGAGCTGTGACCCCCGGCGTGTGGTGCTGAAGCGGATCGTCCTGAGTGGACACCCCTTTAAGATCAACCGGCGTTCTGCTGTTGTCCGTTACATGTTCTTTAACAGAGGTGAGAAGAAAGGCTTATTAAAGGGGAATTCCGTTGATTTCTCTGAATTTCATGCTGTGTGTCATGCAGTGCATGCAGATCAATGCAGAGGTTTTTTTAAGAAAAATTGTCCATTCTACACAAATGTCCTCCTTGTATTTCTTTATAACGTAAGCGATAGGAGCCAGGGGTCATGATGTCACCAGTGAAAAGATTTTTTGCTTATTATGTAAATCAGTGGTTTAGTTGGTCCTTGGAATTCCTCTTAATCTGCAATCAGTTCATATGCTCTAGAACAACTCATACAAGTCTGCATTTGTAATTTTGTGCAGCCTAAAGAACATTAAATGGCCCATTTCAAGGAAAATAAAATATTCCTAACTTTTTTCAATTAAGAGTTTGATGTAGTAATACGAAATATTCCTAAAATTTCACAAACATACAGATCACTCTCCAATCCATACAGCCCATTTATGGAAACTAGGCTGCAAAAACAGCCTATTTTGAATTCGTTGTTTCTGTGATGTCCCTAAAATCAATACATTTACAAACATCCTCCTATTCAGTCTACCACTTTTAACAGACTTGGCCCCTCCCATTCATGCTGAAGTTATAAGGAGTGTTACAGCCCAGACTGCTTTTTGAAAGAGGTATAACACAGGGCAGTTAATTAGAATAGAGCTCATTTAATAGATCAGTTGTAAAAAAAAAAAACTATTTAATATCAAGGGATAAAGAAAGGTGGGAGGATGGTCGTATAAAAATTAAACATGACTGCTTCTGGTACATAAAGCCTGCGATAAAGTATAATAAAATGAAGGATATGGGCCCTTTAAGAAAACTCTGTCTCTGGCTTTGGATGTTTACAAGTTTTGTTGCTTTCCTCCAGATGATATCTTGTGGTTCAAGCCAGTGGAGTTGCGCACCAAGTGGGGCCGAAGAGGACACATCAAGGAGGCCTTGGGTGAGGAGGGGGGAAAAGCATATACTAACAACGTTGTCCTCATCAATCATAATATTGAAATAAACTTAAAAAAAAAAAGTCTCAAACTGTTCACGTAGAAAAAGATTGTTGAGACGGCCTTAAGTTTGTTTTACAGAATGAAACTAATCCATATTTTTCTATGTTCCGTTTTCTATGCAGGTACTCATGGGCACATGAAATGTGTATTTGACAGTCAGTTGCGCTCCCAAGACACAGTTCTCATGAACCTGTACAAGAGAGTGTATCCTCGTTGGACATATGACCCCTATGTGCCTCCAGCTCTACCCTGGGTCAAGAAAGAGGAGCCAGAGAACCTCCATGACATTGACATGGAATAGAAGCAGGAGAGATAATTATGGACTGACAGGTGCAGTGGACATGATGTCCAGTGTGATGGCTACTAGCACACTATATATGGATATAAGAAGAATAAATGATTTGATGAAATACATTTTGTCATTTTGTTGTGGTTGAATGTCATTTCCAACGATGGCCACTAGATGGCATACCTGTATTAAAATGAAGGTGCTTGATGGAACTGTTGACTGGCTGGTGTCTATGCACGGTCTTCCTGTGGCCTTTTCTGAAAAGAATTTAATGAGGTCTGAAATCAGTGAAGACGTAGATAGATATAAAGCGTACAACTGATGAAGCCATCTTTAGGACATACCACCACAAAACCTGTGCAGTTGATTCTCTATACTCTGTGTATTTGCTGTATGTATTTGATGTGCAGTTTCTATTAGCATAGCAAGTAACACTGAGGGAGACTGAGCCAAATTCCTGCTGAAACCTCAAGTGATAGTGTCCCTGACTTTATGAGTGGATCATGGGTGAAACCGCATCTAAACACTAGTAGTAAATACTGTCATTGTGAGTTTTCATTTCTCATCCTCTAACTCTAGACCAAACCTCACTGGAAGATAATCGCCCTCAAAAATGTCCGACCAGCAGTGAAGCCTGCAGTCATTACCCTCGGCTGGCTGCTGTCGCTCGGACGCGCTGGAGTGAGTGAAGCATGACCATCACTGGCACATGTACATGCAGTGTCCCATAACTCACTTTTAACTGACTGCGGCTCTGCACTCTGTGGGTCACAGTGGCCCTCTGTGCGTCCTCACAGTGTAAGCTTATGGCTGCAGTCTGGAGCCGCTGGCTGCGATCACTGCTCCCACTTCCCGGTGGTCCATCTGACCTGAAGCCCCTTTTTCACCACCATTCACACTCGTGCACACACAGAGCATGGCCCCGCTCTTGTTTTCGCTCTGGATTCCCAAATGCTTTTCTGCATACTCTTTCTCTCCCCCTCTCCCCCCACCAATCCTGTGCTTTTTCAGTCTTCTGAGAAACAATGATTTATGGTTTGTAATATTTATCATAAAACAGTGCTCTTGCATGCTTGCAGCTACATGATTCATCCCAGGGTTCTGCTGGGACCCACACCACAGACGCATGCCAATATGTCTGGGAAAAGAGAAGGTGAAGACTTGGGCTTGGAAAGGCAAGCGCGGTCCAAGAAAAGAGAGGATCAAAAGTTCAATATGTGCATTTTTTTGCACACTGTGAATTTGATTACGGTGGAAAAAAGTCAAAATAATGATAAAACAATCGCACAAGGGTAATACTTCTTTATTGCCTGGGGGTGCGCTTGGAGCTCTGGACTGTTAAGTCGAGGCACTCAATTTATTTTCTTGTTCATTTTTTAGCCCTAGTGCACTTGGGGCATTGAGCCGGGATGTGTTAAACACATCTTTTACTTGAACGGGTGTGGTGCGCCCGGCCAAATGTTCATGATCTAGAGAGGAAATCTAATCCTCCCACGCTGGAGATTGTCCTTAACTTTAAGCAACACATGCATGGAATGTGAACGGGGAGCTTTTCCTCCAGGGCTGCACCGCTCACCCGAAAAGCATCTCTGCCAGTTTTGGAGGGAAATGTTCGGGTTCTGCGTGTGCTGAGTGAAAGTGAGGCAAGCTGAAGAGATGTATGGGATGCCTCATCCATACCGTGGCTGGACGGGGCCAAATCGGGGCCAGAAGGAGTTAACGCTGGTGGCTGTGGGCCGCTTTGGAGCAGGAATGTCCTGCGGTTCCTAGTTCACTGCCACCACACTCAGCTGGCTTCCACTGAAGATATAATGGGTGAGAAATTTTTCCGTTGGAAGGGGATAAGGAGGGGGTGGGAAAGAGACAGAGAGGGAGAGAGAGAAAAAAAGATGGAGCATGGAGTTGCAGAGAAGAGATAAGAGAAGAACCACTGCCTGCTTAAGGCTGGATGGAAAACAAAAGACCGAGAGCAAGAAGAAACAGTACTCGTCCTGCACAGATTGGCAAAGCAGGAATAAGCAAAACAGTCAAAGTGGAGGAGGCAGGGGGTGATGGAGTGGTGGTGATGGTGGGGAGGGGAGAGTGAGAGCAAGCCTCGACAGTGTGGGCGAGGGAGATGGAGAGCGAGAGTGGCTGGCGTTTATGGATAGCAGATGTGGCGCTGTGGGGTTTTGGCAGGGGCCCACTGCGCCTCAGTCCCGCACCGGCTGGGTGGCACCGGGGTGAGAGTGAGGTCAGCACACCGCAGCATATAGCCTATAAAACACACAGAGAGAGAGAGAGCAAGAGAGACGGAACAATCAAGAGAAGACAGCATGGAATGCTAAAATCCTCTTGCATAGCTTATGCAGAGCCCCTCAAATCCACTGCTGCAACACCTCTATAGCTCATTCACTGGCTAATGCAGTTTTAAGTGTACTGTAAAAGAGCCAGAGGAAGAACCTTGTAATCCATGTGGCTTTGCCCTGACCTCATGAGTTGATTCTTCCCAACCCCAGGCATTCAAATAGAGCCTATAAGTAACTTTGAATGGAGCTTGAGATGAACACCCCCTCGACCCTATTTGCTAATAACTGCCTCATTACCCAAGGCTCCTAGAACTGATGTTTTCAAACCTTCGCTGTCATTTTTTTTCTCCCCACCATTTGAAAAAGCCATCTGCCATTTACATTGAGAGAACATTTTACAATAAACGGACCGATAGAAATGGTCAGAATAAAATCTTGTTGCATTAATGTACACTTTGTCCTTCTAATATGAAGTTACTTTTTCAGAGATGCAAGGTTTTGTTACAACAATGATGATATTTTTATGTTTTCCCACCTATAACTAACTAATCATCTAAGCATACAACAGTTTTAACTTTCTTGATGCTGATTCCAATGTCTGAACATCTGAACTCCGATACTGGCCAATACTGATCCGATACTCCAATATCAGTGCTCTTTTAAGGCACTTATGTTTCGTCATAGCAAAGTGCATACACACAAATATACAGGATAAGCTAACATGCTATAGAGGAGACTATGTTGAAATTGAACTGTAATTGTGCCAGGTCTTTTCTCAGTGGCAATTCCCACCTGTTGGCTAGGTGTTCCCCAATCACATAATGCTACCTAGCTGGATGAAGTTTAGCACATGATTCCTATGAGACATGTAAAGCTAGCCCCCACATCTTTTCGCAGTGCCACAACATGCTTGGAGGAGAACGCTAACTGCCAATTCTTTTACCTCGGCTAACAGGGCCCAGGTTGGCTAGCATCACACTAAGTGGGCCAATTATGCTTGCTTGGACGCCCAGCTTTGGATGACTGCCGCATTAGCAAGGATTGAACTCCCAGATCTCCCAACAGTAGGCCCAATGTATTGGTGGTTCTGCCACTGTCTGTCTGGCCGATATCTGATCTGTTTATTAAGTTGCTAAGCTATCCCAGGACAAATCCAGTATACCAGATCAGCCCATTGCTGTTATGAGCCAATTAGAAAGTATTAAAGTGGGTGTGTTAAAGCCAGAGTGAGACACACTAAAATGTGCTGGATAGCAGGTACTACAGGACCAGGATTGGGAAGCACTGGCATGCAGTATTTAAAAAACAGTATTCCAGAGCTAAATCACATGTTCCACTATTTGTCTTTTGGTCACCCTTTCTACTGCCAGTTCGGTCGCCTTTGTTATGCAGCTATCTCTTTGAACCTCTCTCGTTCTTGTCAAACCCCTTTCTTTTCCTCCTTTAGCCTGGTCCTGACTCGCTGGTTTCCTGGGGCCTGGCCAAGGCGTGTGTCCCCGGAGGAGCCAGAGAGGAGATGGAGAGAGAGAGGGGGCAAAGCAAGGGCTCAGAGACAAGCTCCAAAACCACAGCTGCAGCAGCAGCCCTGCCTTTGCCTTCCCCTTCCTTTCCTCTCCCCTCACTTCACTAAGCAAGGGAACTGGCCTGGCACACTCCCCAGCTCTGCCATTAATCAGAGGGAGAGGAGAGGGGTAGTGTGTGCGTCTGTGTGTGTGTGTGTGCTGATAGAGAGCTGGCGGGAACGGGGGTGGTGGTATGGAGACCAGGACCTCCCAACAAAGCTGAAGAGTTCACCCAGCGAGCGAACGAGGGAGGGAGGGAAGGAGGCTGACAGACGAAAAAGCCTGGTGCACAGATTGCGACTTTGTCAGCAAGAGAGAGACTAAGAGGACGAGAGAGATACGGACAAACAGAGCCGAGCACTTGGACGGATCTGAGATGGAGCGAGACGGAGTGGGGAGAGAGGGAGCAAGAGAGCGAGAGAAAGAGAGAGAGGGAGAGGGCAGCGGAAACAGACCTGAGGTCCGCTGAGGAGGAGGAGCAGAGTGTCCAAGATTCTGTCTATCATAGCGTATAAACATGGAAAATCTCACGGTTCAATACAAACAGATGTAGAATGTGCACTTTTGTCTCATTAAGGCAACTCGGTGAAAATAGTTGTTCACATCGTGCCTCTTTAATGTATATCCCAGATGTCAGCTCTGCCCTTCCATTCAAGGTCTCCACACATTACTGTGCTGCACTTATCAAAACAGCTCAGCAAGCATCAAGTCCAACCTATACGTTACAGTGATGTGCATGTGGTTTAATGGCTTTCATCGACAGCGTTCTGAATGTTTCAAAACAAAAGCTATGTCCAAAAACCGTCCTGTTCACTGTGTAGTGCACTATTTTGGAAGTAGTGTCTGAAAATGTGGTGGAGAATCCGGCACAGTTTTACAATCCCACAAAGCACTGCAATAGGTAGAGTACAAACTGTGACTGAAATTTCATTTTAGGGCACTGTTACATACACTCTTAGGTTTAGTCCAAATCATGAAATGGAATTCCAGATTGAGTTTGAGGGAACTACACTATCCCACAATGCACTCAATTTCTAGTGAACACCATACATTGCTACATCAGCTGAATGCATAGTCTTGAGCGGCCAGACATGATGTTCATAAACAAGGGTGCAAACCTACACCAAAGTATCTGTTTTAACATCTGGAATACAATCAGTAATGCTAGCGAAACAAGCTAGCTAGCAAAACGCTACTGTTGCATGTAATGTGCACGTGACATATATCTATGTGCATACACGTCTGTATGTCCTCTTTTTCCAGGATAGTTTCA